TCTATAAAGCTTCATTGTCTGTTGTTCTTTGGTTTTGAAGAGTTAAAGGGTCTAAAAGGCAGTTGTTGAATCAGGGCCCTATTAGAATGAGACAGGGGGAATCACCTTAGAAGTGGAGAAGATATTAGCTTCCTCCCAGATACTGCCTCTTAGCCAGGCAACAGGGCTATACCCCAGTCCTCAGAGTTTCTGGTCTTATCATAAGAAAAGCAAGGAAATGGTGATGGCAGCCTTCTGAGTTTCTAGCTTAATCATAAGAACCTTTGGATGCCTAGAGAGGATAGCAATCGCAACACTCAGACAGGTTTTGTTTCTACCCTCTGACTAAGGGTTAGTTGTTACTCTATTGTTCTGTGGTGTGCTCAAAAAAGCCACTTTGGGCCCATCGTAGTAACCTAAAAGTTCTCACACTGCAGGCACCAGAATCCCACTGGAACCTGGTTCGAATCCTGGCTGCTCTGCTTCCCATCCAGCTCCCTGTTTGTGGCCTGGGAAAGCAGTCGAAGCCGGCCCAAAACCTTAGGACCCTGCACCCACATGGGAGACCTGGAAGAAGTTCCTGGCTCCTGGTTTCAGATCAGCTTAGCTCAGGCCGTTGTAGCCACATTGGGAGTGAACCAATGGATGGACGATGTTTCTCTCTTCTCTCCTTCTCTGTGAAAATCTGACTCTCCAATAAAAAAAAAAAAAATAAATCTAAAAAAAAAAAAAAAAAAGTGGCTTCCACTTCCCATCCAGCTACCTGCTTGTGGTTCGGGAAAGCAGTACAAGATGGCCCAAAGCCCTGGGATCCTGCACCCACATGGAAGTGAAACAAGCTCCTGGGTCCAGAACAGTTCAGATCCAGTCATTGTGCCCACTTGGGGAGTGACTGAGCAGATGTGGAATCTCTCTGTCTTTCCTTCTCTCTGTAAATCTCTTTCCAATTAACATAAATAAATGAATCTTTAAAAAAAAAAAAAAGCCCAGTATTTTGCACTACAAAGTTTTGACCATGATCCAGTGACTTTGCAGGCAGTCACAGGAACAATGCCCAGGAGAATCCTTTGCACCCAGTGTGAATGGGTTACTCTGGTAACCTAGAATAATGAGACCTTCTCAGCCTTCCTCCAAGGAGAAACCCTGGGGGAAATCTCTTCTGCCTGGTGTCAGAAAGGCTATGCAGTCTGATAATACTAAGTGGTAACATTTTGTGAGGAATTTGATCTGCTTCACACCAAGTAAGCTCTCTGTCTAGAAGATGAAGACAGAAAGAAAAAAAGGGCAAGAAACACTGGATCCACTCCCTTTGGATTCCCTTGAAGTCTCAGTCATTACTAAGATGCCCACCTAGCCTGTCAGGCATACTCTCTTCATTAAACTTTGCTGCTTTACTTAATGCTACTCTCCGTCTCATGTCTGCACTCCTTCTTGGGCAAAAGGCAATAACCCCTGCACAGTTATTCCATTCCAGTGGTCTCCCCATGGGGGAGGACCTTTGGCACAATGGTCAAGATGTTGTCTGGGAGACGCTCATCCTAGATTAGACTGTCTAGGTTCAAGCCATGGCTCTACTCCCAAATTTAGCGCAGCTGCACTATCCTGCCCTTTATACACCTCCAATCCTGGGACTAGCTGCACAATTGCAACTGAGGGAAAAATACGTCTTAATCTTGTTTTCAGCTTCTAATAAATGAACAAAACCTACACTAACGAGAGATGACCAAACAAGAGAGCTTCAGTAGTAAGAGAGGAATCTGTGACTGGCTACCACTAAAGAAGTCTCAGCAATGTCAGGCGACCATTCCATCCCCTGCCACTAATGCAGTCTGGTAACAAGTAGCCCCCCTACCCTGGCTGCACATGCATCTCTCACTGCTCCTTCCTTCCCTCACCTTCTGCATCCCTACCAGAGGCCCACATGGACCTGCAACCTTTCCCACATCTCTATAATGATCTTTAAGAAATTAATGGCTAAAAGTAAATAAATCTTAAAAAAATTTTTTTTTAAAGTGTCAAACCTCCCAAAAGCCCTTCCCAGCCTCCCGAACTCCACCTATTCCCATGAAGACATCTTGTAGTGAACGTCTTCCAGGAAGGGACTTCCTGCATCAACTTTAGCTCTGAGGCACGGACTGCCCAGTGTCGAGCGATCACACGAGCATGCACTGGGAGACAGCAGCAAGGCTTTAAGTTCTTGGATCCCTGGATCCGGCAGCTGCACACACCACACTGAAGATTTGGCTTGAGTTTTAGGCTCTTGGATGCAGCTCAGTCCAGCTCTGTTTCACACATATGAATAATAATTTTTAAAATGAACGATTTTGGCCAGACACTAGCTCAGGGATCTGCACACCTGTGCCCAGAACCCTGGCAGGGCTCAGCTTTGGCCACTGCAGTCACTTGGGAATTGTAACGGGATGGAAGATCTTTCTCTGTCTCTCCGTCTATGTGTAAATCTGACCTTTCCCCTTACCCCCCCCCAAAAAAAAGTAAATCTATAATGGCAAATTACAGGATTAGAGCTTTGAATGTTACCTGACAGTACTAAAACGGGAACCAGTCTTGAACAAGGACACAGGCTGGGTGGGACCAGGGCCACTAGTAGGCAGGGATGGGGGCAGCAGGATGGATCAGATCAGGCTAGGCCATAGCATTTACCTGTGAGTAGGGTATAGGGTGGGGTCACAGCATCTAATGCCATGTGCCATGCGCAATACCTGGGGCTGCTAATGCGCATGACATGGGATCTTGGGGAACGTCCCAGCTAGGCTGCAGGACCAGCTGGTACATGCAAGAGCCAGTCTTTGGGGCAGGCTGGGCTAGCCCACAGCACCTGCAGGTCCCTCTGTGAGTTCGGGAGCAGGATTGGCCAGGCAGCTGCACACAGCTCTATGTATGCTGGCTGAGCCTACCCTCTACACCAACTTGCACTCATTACTGCAAGTTCTGAGGACTTCCCAGGAAGGTTTCTTAGGAGGCTCCCAACTAGATCGATGCACTCGATCACCAGCCAAAGGGAAAATGGCATAGATACATGACACTGACAAAGGAGGGAACACTGAAACATTTATCTCACCCACCATCCCCCGGCCCCCAACCCTCTCGATTCTAATCAGAGACAAACATTGACCTGCAAGCCCCTGATCTTTTGAATAAATATTAAAATACAAAGGTAGAGGGATCAGCTTTGATTGGTTGGAAATCAAAAAAGGTCGATAAAATCATAAGATCCCCTGGACAGAATCACTGAATGTAGGATCAAGCAACTGGAAATGGAGCGCAGCCATTCTCCCAAGCTCCAGGCTTAGACCTGTCCAGGCGGAGCCACCGCAGCCATTTGGGGAGTGAACAAGCAGACAAAAGATTCCTCCCTCCTCCCTGCTCCCCACGCTGGCAATGCTGCCTTGCAAATAAATCCAGAGCACAGAACAAATGGAATTTAATTTCTGTAAGTCTTAATGATCCAATAAAAATGAAACATCACCTGAACTTAAACAAATCCACAGGTATTAAGGATGCAAACAAAACAACAAACAGCAAATAAACTGTTACCTTCATAAGAAAAATGAGCACATGTAAATTTCATTTAGAAAATTGTCTGGGTTCACCTCAGACAAAGGTTCTTTAGGGATCTCCCCAGTCAAACTGCTGGACTCAGAACCCTAACCATGAAGACAGGACAGAACAAATCAATCAACTACCTCAGCCATTTGTTGGCAGTGAAAAACTGGGAAAACGGAGACTCTTAACATGGACTATGTTAATCAGAGGAATCTTCAGCGACCTCATTGTGCCTGGAATGATGAGACTGGCAGCAATTCATAATTGTTGAACTATCAAAACCACTTGAGCAAGACCCTCGGAGTACGGCCCACATCGGGGACCTGGGATGGGTGGGAGACTGGGTGGGGCTTCTCCCTTTATCTCCCCCTTTACCCCAGATACATGAAAAAAATAATGTGGAAATAATAGTCTTATCCACTTTCCTGTACCCCTTGAGCCTTTATGCCCTAATGAACTAAGTAAAGATTGTCAAAAATGAGGGAAAAAAATAGAAGAAAAAAAAAAAAAAACAAAAAAAACTTCCAAATACAATTCTTTAGTTTATGTGATTTTTAAACTATATTCAGTATTCCCAGCACATTATACTTACATAAAAAAATTTCTTACACAATACAAAAAAAATCTCCTCAATTTTACTTTCAAATTCTTTATACAAGGATAGTTTCAAAATATTTACATAAAAGGACAGTATTCTCTTATTTGAAGATTTATTTATTTTCACTAGAAAGGCAGACCAGATGTACAGAGAGTATGAGAAGCAGAGACCAATGCCCCCATTCAGTGGTTCACTCCCCAAAGGGGCATAACAGCCTGAGGTGAGGAATTTTAATCCAGGAGCCAGGAACCCCCAGTGTTCTCCCAGTCACCCAGGTGGGTACAGAGTCCCAAGGCTTTGGGTTTTCCTCTACTGCTTTCCCAGGCCACAAAAACAGAACTGGATGGAAAGTAGAACACCAAGGATGCAAACCAGTGCTCTTAAGGGATTCCGGCACTTGCAAAGTGAGAATTTAGCTGATTAATCCACAGCGTAGGGGCCCAAGGATGCTTTAAAATATTTCAGAAACTACTCCATTTTATACACAAACTGTTGCTCAAAATTAGTACAACTTGGGCCTGGCAGCATGGCCTAGCAGCTAAAGTTCTCACCCTGAACGTGCCATGGATCCCATATGGGCACCGGTTCTAATTCTGACTGCTCCACTTCCCATTCAGCTTCCTGCTTGTGGCCTGGGAAAGCAGTCGAGGATGGCCCAAAGCCTTGGGACCCTGCACCCGTGTGGGAGACTGGGAGGAGGCTCCTGGCTCCTGGCTTCAGATCAGCACAGCACCAGCTGTTGTGGTCACTTGGGGAATGAATCATCGGACAGAAGATCTTCCTATCTGTATAGCTGAGTTACCAATAAAAATAAATAAATCTTTAAAAATATATATTTATATGTATATATACTGCTTACCTGATCCATATCTAATGTTGTTTCTATCATTTCCTGAAACTTGGAGAAATCAGAACGAAGATCAGTAAGGGGAGTGACAAAAATTGCCAACAACAAGGCCTGGTGTTTTCCTAAAACAAAGTAAGAAGAAAAGTAGAAGAAAATGTGTCATTTCTAAAAATACAAGGTTTCTGACAATGAGAGTTTGAAATAAAATCAGCAGGTTTGATAAAAAAAAAAATCATAATTATGAGGATATGTCACAAAATTCATGGAACTAAAACAAGTTATTTGGGGCATAAACTTTTATATTCACGTAGCTTTTCCACAATAAACAACGTTTTATGCACTTTCTGGTTACACCTCATATTCAAGACTTCAAAACTTGTTTGGATCAAAATAAACATTCTCTTATATTTTCATTGGTCAGTAGGTTTCCAAAATCACTATTTACTCAGCTGTCTAAATACAAATGCATTCCACACTCAATTCATTTCACAGAAATCAATGGTCCAGCACTCAGCCTCCCACTAATAGAAATACTACCCTCACTGCTTATCTGTACCTGCCTTCAAAAGAACCAAAGCTTTAAAAACAGTACCTTAATTACAGCTAAATAAATTTCATCTCTTCTAGATTTTTTTTAAGATTTATATATATATATATATATATTTTTAAAGGTTTATTTATTTATTGGAAAGTCAGATATACAGAGAGAAGAAGAGAGAGGAAAATCTCCCATCTGATGATTCACTCCTCAAGTGAGCGCAACAGCCAATGCTATGCCAATCCGAAGCCAGGATCCAGGAACTTCTTCTGGGTCTCCCACGTGGGTGCAGGGTCCCAAGGCTTTGGGCCATTCTTGACTGCTTTTCCAGGCCAGAAGCAGGGAGCTGGATGGGAAGCAGGGCCACCAAGTTTAGAACCGGCACCCATATGGGATCCCGGCGCGTGCAAGGTGAGGACTTTAGCCACTACACTATCTCGCCAGGCCCCTCTTCTAGACTTAATAACCCAAAGTCGAAAGCATCAAAATAAGACCTCTAATAACTTTTATCATTAATTTCCACAAATAACACAGTGTTCCAATTAACACTGGCAAAAAAAGCTTACACAAGAGGGCCAGGCACGATATCATACCGGCTAAAGTCCTTGCCTTGAATGCACTGGGATCCCATACGGGTGTCAGTTCTAATCCTTGCAGCCCCGCTTCCCACCCAACTCCCTGATTCTGGCCTGAGAAAGCAGCTGAGGACAGCCCAAAGCTTTGGGACCCTGCACCCACATGGGAGACCTAGAGGAAGTTCCTCCCTCCCGGCTTTAGATTAGCACAGCACCAGCTGTTACAGTCACTTCGGGAGTGTAATCATTAGACGAAGATCTTCCTCACTATCTCTCCTCTTATCTATATATCTGACTTCACAATAAAAATAAATAAATCTTGAAAACAAGATAGAGAAGATTGGCAGCCCTTTGTGCACGGATAAGACAAATCCATCAAGTGTTTCACATTTAAAAGAAAAAAACATAACTTAGTTAAGAGTACCCATACATGATGTAAGGAGTAAGCGAAGCAACACAGTGTGTAATGAGAAAAGCAGAGAAGAGCCGGCATGGTGCAGTGGGATCAGCCACTGCCTGTGATGTCAGCATTCCACATGGATTCTGTCTCCAGTACTGGGGACCTGACTTCACATCCTGCTCCCTGCAGAGGCTGCTAAAATTACTTGGTGTGAGCCATTCAGGTGGGAGAGCCTGATGGTGCTCCAGCCTGCTGCCTTGAGTCTGACTCAGCCCTGGCCACTGCAGCCACTGGGGAATGAACCAATGGATGGAAGATCCCTCTCCCTTCATTCCACCTTTCAAACAAATAGATCTTTTAAAAATAAATAAATAAATTGGGTAGAAACCCAGTGCCAATTTTAATACTGCTGCCTAATGGCTTAGCTAACACATATTATCCTGAATAGCTTTTCCAAATCTGTTCCATGGAGTCTCAGCAACAGAAATCCAGATGAATAAATGAAATACCTATAAAACACTTAAGAGCTGGTATGGTGGCTCAACAAATTAATCCTCTACCTATGAGTACCAGGGCAGGCTTGTATCCTGGCTGCTACACTTCCCAACCAGCTTGCTGCTTATGGCCTGGTGAAGCCGCAGAGGCTGGCTCAAGTCCTTGAGACTCTGCACCCACATGGAAAACTGAAAGAAACTCCTGGCTACAGTTTAGCTCAGCAATGGCCACTAGGCCATTTGGGGAGTGAACCAGCAAACGAAAAGCCAGTCTCCTCTCTGTGACTCTGCCTTTTCAATAAAATTAAATAAACCTTAACACACACACACACACACACACACACACACACACTGAGTAAACAATTGAAACACTTCATCAACAATCACTAGGGACATGCGCGGTAGCCTAGTGGTTAAAGTCCTTGCCTTGAAAGCACCAGGATCCCATATGGGTGCTGGTTCTAATTCTGGCAGCCCCATTTCCCATCCAGCTCCCTGCTTGCGGCCTGGGAAAGCAGTCGAAGATGACCCAAAGCCTTGGGACCCTGCACCCACATGGGATACCTGGAAAAAATTCCTGGCTTCTGGCTTCAGATCAGCTCAGCTCTAGCCATTGGGGTTGCTGGGGAGTGAACCAACGGACAGAAGACCTTCCTCTCTGTCTCTCCTCCTAAATATATATTAATTTGACTTTGCAATGAAACTAAATAAATCTTTTTAAAAAAAATGAATCACGGGCCCGGCGCGGTGGCGCAGTGGTTAAGGTCCTCGCCTTGCACGCCCGGGATCCCATATGGGCGCCGGTTCTATCCCGGCAGCCCCGCTTCCCTTCCAGCTCCCTGCCTGTGGCCCGGGAAAGCAGTCAAGGACGGCCCAAAGCTTTGGGACCCTGCACCTGCGTGGGAGACCCAGAAGAGGCTCCTGGCTTCAGATCGGCATAGCATCAGCCGTTGCACTCACTTGGGGAGTGACTCATCAGACAGAAGATTCTCCTCTCTGTATATCCTCCTTTCCAATGAAAAAATAATAAAAATAAATCTTTAAAAAAAATGAATCACTATGCATTATTAATGCTGTAACACATGATTTCATTTCGATTACCAATACTTTTCCTTAGAATTCTGAAAGTGGGGCCCAGTGCAGTACTCTAGTGACTAAACTCCTCGCTTGAACATGCCGGGATCCCATATGAGCACCAGTTTGTGCCCCAGTCACCCCACTTCCCATCCAGCTCCCTGCCTGTGGCCTGGGAAAGCAGTTCGCGGACAGCCCAAAGCCTTGGGACCTTGTACTCGCATTGGAGACCCAAAAGACGTTCCAGGCTCCTGGCTTTGGATCAGCTCAGCTTCAGCCATTGCAGCAATCTGGGGAATGAATCAGTAGACAGATCTTTCTCTCAGTCTCTGCTCTTCTCTATATATCTGACATTCCAGTACAAAAAATTTTGCAAGTGTTCCATAGTACACTGCATTTCACTGCAAAGAAAATTTTCCTATATTTCTCCTGAAATTTTAGCAGCTTCTACTTAAAAGATGAACAGCTACTGTCAAGTCAGCAAAACTGTTTTAAGAATGTATGCTTTGTTATTAATCACAACAACATTAACACATATTTAGGAAATAGTACCTATGTGTGAAACGCTATTTAGACAGACCATAAACAACACTTAGCCCACATAATGTCTGTTGTGCTACAACGCCTGGTGACTTCCCATGGCTCACTGGTGAATAGGGAAGCACAGCAGCGAATCACAGAGGCTGTGATCAGTTCATCTGATGGCACACCAAGGTATACATGCTTTTGAGACAATCAGACCAAGCTATCATGTAATTAGAGTAAGCCTTAGCTGTGTAGCTGCTTTAAAGGCCCCTGTATTTCCACTATGCTTTATGCGGGAAAGCCGAGTATAAATGATGGGTATACAAATGTTTGCCATGTGAAGAGGTCAAAGATATTGTTTCTTCTGATCACTATTAGGAACAAATGCCCTGAGGGCCCCCTCACAAGTCAGTCCTCTAGCCATTGCAGTCATTTGGCGAAAGAATCAATGGATGGAAGGCCCTTCTTTCTCTTTCCCTCTCCATAAATCTACCATTCAAAATAAGTAAATGAATCTTTTCAAAAAATGTGCCAACAAAGATTACCATAGGGTTCAATAAAAGAAGGAAGAAATATGAAGTATAGGGACTTGGGGAGGAACTTAAACAAATTCTGACAACCAAAGGGATGAAGGGAGAAGGTAGTATTATGCACCTCATCATTATAATAAGTTACAATAAAAACAGTAAAAAATAAATACTTGAAGTTGATTCAATTACTGTGAGAAATATACTCAAATATGTACAACACTGCTAATTCAGATTTCACAACAGCTTTTTTTTTTTAAAGATTTTATTTTTATCGGAAAGTCAGATATATAAAGGAGAGACAAACAGGAAGATCTTCTGTCCAATAATTCACTACTCAAGCAAACAGCATGGTCTGTGCTGCGCCAATCCAAAGCCAGGAGCCAGGAACTTCTTCTGGGTTTCTCACGTGGGTGTAGGGTCCAAAGGCTTTGCACAGTCCTCAATGGCTTTCCCAGCCACAAGCAGGGAACTGACAGGAAGCAGGGTCACCAGGACACGAACTGGCACCCATACGGGATCCTGGCACGTATAAGGTGAGTTTAGCCAGTAAGCTACCACGCTGGGCCCATAACAGCTTTTTCAACTTTAAGATATATGAAGAATGGGTGAGGCACAGTAGCTCAGTGTCTAAAAAATCTCACCTTGCATGCACCCAGAATCTCATATGGACATCGGGTCTAACCCCTGCTGCCCCACTTCCCATCTAGCTCTCTGCTTGTTGCCTGGGAAAGCAACTGGGAAAGCAAGACCCAAAGCCTTGGGACCCTGCACCCACGTGGGAGACCCAGAAGAGGCTCCAAGATCATGGCTTCACATTGCCTCAGCTCTAGCCACTGCAACCATTTTGGGGAGTGAATCATTGGATGAAAGATATTCCTCTCCGTTTCATCTCCTGTCTGTATATCTGCCTTTTAAGTAAAAAGAAAGAAATCTCTCAAAGGAAAAAAGGTATATGAGGAATAAGAGGTGAAGTGTACCTTTTCAGA